TCCTTCCTGGGCTGCCAGGCAGCAGCAGGAGGAGGGGCAGAGCAGCCTCCCCTCTTCCTCCCTCCCAACGCCGCGAAGTTCGCGGCTTCTGTCCCTCCCCCTGTTCTGCTCCACGTTGCAAAGTTTTAACGCGTGCACACGCACACACACGCTTGCACACGCTTGCACACGCGTGCACACGTATCCCGGCCGCCTTACCGTGCTCTTCCTGGCCACCTCTTATCCAGGTTTCTTGGCGATCCGCCCCCCCTCCGCCGCGCCGGGATAAGCAGCCCCGAGGCGAGCAGCTGCGGGCGGAGATAAGGTGCTGGTGGCCAGGGACGATTGCAAGGAGCCCCGGTGCCAGCCCCGGAGCGCCCGGGGCAAAATAAACAGCGCGTTGAGCGCGGGTAGGGGTGCAGCGAGCAGTGAGTGCATTGCGTGCGCGGCCTCTCTGCGAATACAACACATCGCACCCGGGAAGGGGGGCGTCTGCTGCACACGGGCACCCCACGCCTACAAAACCTGTGGTTTTATTAGAAATCCGAGAGAGGAAATGTTTGGTTTTCTTTACAAAAAGGACGGCTTTTTGAAATGAACCGTTTGCCATGTAAAGGGGACGGGCACGGGGATAAATCACAGCGTGGCACAAGGGTCAAGGGCAGGCAGCTGATGGGGGGCAGCTGCCTGGGGGAATATTGGTCCCTAAAAATGCCCAGGGAGGCCCCAAGGGCCCGGGGGGGGGGGGCTCTGCCTTCCCCAGGCCCCACATCTTGCCTGAGCTGGGGGCTGTGATCCAGCATCAGCCCCTGCTCGAGGGACGGGAGCACAGGGGGAGCCTGGGGTGAGCCCCCCTCCCCTCAAATGGGGCCCTGGCTCCAGTGCGTCCATCCCCAAACCCTCACGTGACACTGCGTGAGGAGGGTTGGGTGATTTTTAAGCCACCTCACCTATAATTAATAACCTCCCCTTTCCCATTCCCTCCCCGGGGAAGTCAGGGAGCAAAAGTGATGAAAGGAGCCAGGGGGAGGGGGACAGTCTGGGCAGGGGGCAAATAGGGGAGCAGGTTGCAAAAGGACCCGGGCACAACCTGGGTCCTGCAGCCCCGGCCCCATGGTGACTGTCCTTGGGTCAATGCTGCCAGGGGTCCCACTGCCCCTCGCTACCCCCTGGCTGCTCTGTGCCCCCATGATAGTGCTAAAGGGGGGCATCCCCTCCTCAGAGGCAGCTGAGGCCACTAAGGGAGGAGGGTGCCCCTGCAAGCACCGAAATCTCATCCCACACATGCAGCGAGCATGTCTGTTCTCTGTGCTAACCGCATAGCGAGGGGCAGCTCTTCAGCCTCCAGAGCCACCAGCCATGGGGGACTGTCCGTAGGTGGCCCCAGGGTCTCGAGCCTGAGAGTGTTGGCTGCAGCTTCCAGACTCCAGCATGCGGAGAACGGGATGGGAATGGACGAGGGTGCCTGTCCCTCGTGCCCCAGCTCTGCTGAGCTCTCTGTTTGTGAGTCCATCCAGGCCCCAGCTCATGCCGAGGGGACAGGGGGACAAGGGGCAGCTCAGTCAGTCCTGCAAGAGGTGGACAAAGCTGGCTGGAAAGACGCCAGTGCGGGAGCCGTCACCCTCGATGAAGCCGACCTGGGGATGCAGAAAGGGGCATCAGTGGGAAGCAGGGCAGTGCGGGAGAGGAGTGGGAGAGGGTGTAGATCCTCACCCAGCTCTGCTCGTCCTCCTCCCGTGTCACCACGATCACCTCGCCCTTGGAGAAGGTCAACTCCCGGGCCTTGTCCCCCTTGCAGTCGGCCACCGCCTTGACCCGCTTCTGCCGCCCCTTGGCCTGCCGAGCAGCAGCGAGGAGGGAAAAAGGACACATTGCAACAGCCCCTCATGCCACCCTGCCATGCATGTGACCCCTCCTGACATCTCCATGCAGGAATGAGGCCCCTCTGAGACCCCCCAAGTCGTGACACCTACCGGAGCGAAGCGTCTGGGCATGGGCACGGGGGGCGCCTTGCCCGGCGCGGGGTCCTCGGGGCTCTGGGGGGACACGGGTGAGGTGGCTTTGCCCCCAATGCTGCTGATGCGCCGGTAGGAGCGGGTGCTCTCTGAGCTGCCAGGGACCACAGGGACAGTGTCAATAAACCCCATCCCGCTCCACATGGAGGGGGACATGGATGAGACCCATGGGACACGGTCCTTGCTCCCAACCACAGCCCCAGGCGAATGCTGAGGGAGAGGGGGCCCGTGGGTTACCCAAGACTGTGCCCTTCCTCGCCCTGTCCCCTCTCACCCTAACCAACCTCATTTCCAAAAAAGGGTGGAAAAAAGAATAAGCTTGGTAAGTTCTGTGGGCTTCCAATCCCGCGTTCTCCTCCCAACTGATCCTAGTGTCCAGGGATAGCCCAGCACCCCAAGGCCTGCACCACAGGGTCACCACCGAGGGGACAGGAGGGTGGCAGTGGGGACTGCTGGTGACAAGGTAGGGTTGCCCATGTCCTGCGGGTGGCCAGCAGGGCTCCAAACCACGGTGCCATCCCCACAACCCACCCGGGCTCGTGTCCCCACCTGAACTTCACGGGGGGCATCTGCAGCACGTCGGGG